CCTGGTGCCCTTCCTCCCTTTCCCCTCCAGTGTCTGACCGTGCCCTATCACCTCTCCGATCCGGACTGTGCCCGGTCCCTTCTACCTCCTGTCCATGACCCATAGGTCTCATGCCCCCTCAGACCGTCAGCCCCTTGATTGCCCATCCAGCGGGTGGACAGGATGCCCCGCATCCCTCCCTCTCACCTGTGCCCGGATGTGGACGATGAGGATGTTGGCTCCTTTGTCATTCAGTGTGAGCACAGCCAGTGCAGTCAGCCTTTTGGTTTCCCTTCTAATTTCTAGATTCCTCACTCAGTTGACCCCCATTCCCATCATTTCCCCACCTTACTTGGGTCATTGCACTTGGTATCTGCTATTTTATGTATACTAAGGCCATGAGACTCAGCCTCAGGGGAGCAGGGGAGGGTTGTTTAACCAAAGGAGAGCCAGACCCTGGGTACAAAAACTTAGTTCTGGTACCTGTTTATGAGAAAGAAAACAAACAAAAGCTAGTACATTTTATAGTATATCTTGTGTCCAGCACTGCTGTTGGGCTTTACCTTAAGGTAAGCCCAAGGCATCCTAGGTGTTGGGATGGATCATCACCTATTTAAGTGGGCCAAAGAGTTAATGGATGGAGAAACAGGTGCAGTTGGTGGCTGGCACAAGCAGCTCTTGGAGCAGACATTGGGCTGAGGTTTCCTCTTCTCTTTGTAGGGGTGCCTCCCATCCATGTCCGAGGGACCCAATTCCGAGCTGAGTGCTTGGAGAAGGTTACGCAGTGCATTTTTCTACACACTACTCAAAGCAGAGGAGGCTACTTAGGATTGAATTTGGAAAATGACTTCAACAACCACCTTTACTCTGGTGTACCTGCCAGTCTAAATCCCTTCTGAAAAAGTGTGAGCACATGTGTTTTAACAGATGCAGCCTCTGTGACGACTTGTGACTATCAGTCAATACCATGGGCCTGGAGAAGGAGGAGCTTATGTTCAGTTTCCAGGCTGATTTCTTAGTAAGTTGTTCAATCAGATTTTGTTCTAGAAGAAGTTTAGTCAGAGTCCCCATAGAGAAATCTGTTAAAGTAGGAACCCTCTTGCCATTTGCAGTTCTTTTATTTTTTATCATGTCTGGCAAGCCAAGAGTGTTGCGTGGGTGTTGTGGGAGAGTCAGACTGAATCAGGTATAAAGCCCACAGTGAATTGGGCTGGGCATGAGGTGGAGGCCACAGAAGTGTGATGGAACCTTTAGGACTTCCTGAGGGAAATTGATGCTTCCCATTGTTCAAGTAACCACTCTCTCTCTCCCAGGAGAATAAGGGATCTGTGGAGATCATGAGAAAGGATTTGAACGATGCTCGAGATCTGCACGGCCAGGCGGAGTCCGCTGCTGCTGTGTGGAAGGCAAGTGTTTGGTCAGTTTCCAGTTTCTGGGGCTGAGTGAAATCGAAGCTCTCTGTGTCCTTCTGAGCATGCACCTCTCTGGATTCTGGACCGAGGGAAAGTGGATTAAAGCCGGGCCGACCGAACTGAAGGGCAGTTGCTTGGCTTAGTTGATTGGAGGAAGGTGTTTTGGATGAGTATCTCTCTAGGCAGTTTTGTGAGTATTTCAGAAAATTTAGTTCAAGTGGAGATTCTTTTTTTCTCCATGTTTTATATATATGAAGTATTGTGCTAAAGCCAACTTCCTTTTTGGTAAATAATTCTCCTTTGATCTGAAGACAGCACAGTTTTATAATGGTTACTAGAATTGTTTTAGATTACTCATTAACAAAACTGCAGAATAATTAAAGCTTATTTTTTTAATTTTTAATTTCATTTTCCTTCCATGTCGTGAAGTATGTACTGGTTCCTCAGGTTTTCATCACCCATTGTGGAAACCACTGTGTCAGTTCACCTGGTTGAGGACCTTCCTCTTTTTGGCTGACCCCGTAGTTTATCAAACATGATGTGCTTTCCCACGGACTGGTCTCTCCTGATGAGGAAGGAGTCCTGGTGGTGCTGAAGGTCAGGTGTTGGGCTGCTAACCACAGGTCAGTGGTTCAAACCCACCCGCTGTTTTGCAGAGAAAGCTGATATTCCCCTTAAGATTTAGCCTTTGAACCCCTCTATAGGGTTACTGGGAGCTGAAATTGCCTTGTTGGCAGTAGGGTTAGTCTGTCCTGATACCACGCTAACTTTTATGCCAACTTTTTTTTTTTAAACATACAAAAGGCAGGGTGCCTTTTAAAACTAGAAAAGCTCTCTGCTTGTGAAATCCGCACCATCCAGGTGAAGACCCCCAGTCCCATCCCATTCAGCAGTCATCTATTTTCTAGATCCCTCCCAAGCCCTGCACCTCCTCCCTCCACAGAGCCCTAAAGTGTGCGCCTCCCATGGAGAGCTGCGAGAGGTGGTAAATGGGATGGATATATGGTGTAAATCAAACCCTGACAGCACATGTCCCCCTAGTGGGTCACTTTCAAATGTTCTCTTCTGATAAGTTCAGTGGAATGAACTGAGACCACATGCTATTGAGGCTTTGTGGCCCTCCAACAGTTCCAATACCCCAAGGTACTATTTTTTTGCCCACAGATTTGTAAAGATAGGGTCTTAAAAAAAAATTTTTTTTTTTTATGTTGGAGAGAGATACTTAAAATGAAAGTACCTTCTAAATTCAAAGGATTGACTTTGTACTCATCAGTCCCTGAGCATGGGCCTGTGAAAGTACTTTGGTCCAAGAACCTGGCAGATTCAGCATCAGCACCAAAAGACATGACTTCTTACCACTGCTGTCTTCGTCAGTTGATGGCTTACAGTCAGGTTGGAGAACTTGATGAGAACCTGGCCAATTCCACTATACTCTATTTTCTTTGTTAAGTATTTGTTGATGACTTAAAATGGGCAAAAGGTTGCATAGAAAGTCTAAAGTATTTAGTTAAAAGCCATCATGATGATTTTGGGCTTCAGGTAAGGATGGTGGGAAGTCCATTTAGGACAGAGTGTATGTTGGCTTGGCAATGGTTTATAGACTCAGCAGTAATACTCAAGGGGCATATTTTTTTCCTTCTCTTTTTTAGGAGTAGAAGGCAGACAGTCTTTGTTGATTCTCAAAGTTCATAGACACCAGCAAAGGACCACACACACGCGCCTGCCTTAGGGCATGGGAAACACTTTACACACTTAAGAGGAGAGACCGAGCAAGATCACTGGCCTGCCATGGCCATTGGCTCATCATGCATATAGCCGGTGCAGTGCATGTATCTTGTACGAGAAACCCAATTTCCCCGCTGCCAGAAACAGATAGAGAAGTGGGGTTGGCTAAGTGCTATATAGTGCTCCTGTATGTGTGAGACAGGAAAAGTTACGGTGAGCCCTGAACAGGGAAGGCTTCTCTGATGAGAAGGAAATAGAAAACTGGGAGACAGAAGGTAACCGAGTTCCCAGCCTCTTCATCGGAGAAAGTTCTGAACCAAAGCTTTGACTTACGTGTGGTGGGAGTAGTCTTCGAAAACCCCCAGTAGTCTTTGAATACAGCTGAGTGCTTTACAGCACACATTCTATCAGAGATGAGGGTGACAGTAGTGGAGAGGGTGGTGAGAGGTTGTCGATCCTGTTCCCAGGGCGTGTGAGGCCGGTGTGGAGGTGTGTATTTGAAGGCTCTGGTTGGCTTGGAGCCACATGTCCTTTCCTAACTGCCGTCCTGTAGGGCCATGTGATGGATCGGAGGAAGAAGGCACTGACCGATTATAAGAAGCTGCGGGCCTTTTTTGCCGAGGAGGAAGAGCATTTCCTGCAGGAGGCAGAGAAAGAGGAGGCACCGGAGGATGAGGGGGCTGATCCTGCCGAGAGATTCAAATCCCTGCTGCAGGCTGTCTCCGAGCTGGAGAAGAAGCATCGCAACCTGGGCCTGAGCATGCTGCTGCAGGTGTGTGCTGCTTAGGCCTTGCTTGTGGCTCTCTTAGGTGGGTGTGTTTCTGTTCACACCTTTGTGGCAGTTGTGTACACTGATTGGGAATTGTGCACCCTGCAAAAAGTTGAACAGATTTGCCTGTGTCCTCCAGAAGTGCATTCTCTCAGATGATCAGCTCTATGGTCAGCATAGAGAGAAGAAATAGCAAACGTAATAGCAGAGTAACTTACCAAAAGAACTAAGAAATACTGCATGGCTTCCATTAACTGTAGCTTTTTGAGAATGAATGTCAGGAATAACTGACCCAAAGAAGGTGGTTTGAGCAAAATGTTTATCCAAGGAGCAAGTCTCCTAGGTTTTCAAGTGGGAAGGGAAGTTTGATAGATGGAAGTCCCCAGTGCTTGAGGAGCAGCACAATCCCCTCATCCTGGAGGATTCGAGGACAGGAATGTGATCACGGGGTTCAGCAGCAGCAGGGCTGAAAGAGCACCTGTGGCACCCCCAGGAGTGCAGTGGGTCATCACATTTCATTGGTTGTGGGAGAACCCAAGACTCTGGGTTCTCATGCTAAATGTTCTCAGACCTTCGGTCTCGATTCCTCCAGGTCTTCAAACTCAAGGCCTGCAGTTGATTCACTGCTTTTTAAAATCTGCATGTACAATCTTGGAGAGTTTGTTTTCTGGTCTGATTGGTTTTCTTTTTTATTTCTAGTTAATTAGCTGTAAACAGTTCACAGCTCGTGGCCATTGTGGGTTCCGAGGCCTTTGGAAGACATTCATGGGGTGATGTCGGGGAGGCTGCAGTTTTGCTTGGGCGCTGAGGTTTATAGACAATGCAGGGCAGGGCCACGACTGGGAATCCATGCGCACCGTTCTCTTTTCTCCCCTGTGCAGTGATGGCGCTGGTCCTGAAGGAGGAGGGATCCTTTATGGAGCATGAGGCAGAAGAAAGCACTTCTACACACCAGCCCAAAGGCCCTTTCTTTACCTTTCCTCAGGTCTCCTTCTAGGCCTCTGCCCATTCTCCATCCCACGGCTGTCTCCACTTGAACCGTAAATGTGTAGATATGGGGAAAGCACCTGTAGGTACTTCTGTCATTGTCCAAGATAGTAATTTTCAACCAAGTATTCATTTTCCATTTTCTTTGAAGTGATACTATTATTGAGGCTGCAAACTTTTATTTTTCTTAGTAAAGGCTTGTCATGAGGGCGACGAGCTCATTTGTATTGTATTTCTTCATAAACTGCCGCTAATAAGGCTTTCATCAGAAATGTATCTGGAGTCTTAGTCACCTGTGGTGATAGTCTGGATTCTTGTGCTTTGGGAGATTTCTCTTAGATACTAAGTGGACCAGGCACTGTACCTTTTTAATGATGCTTAAGTCAGGGTTGCTTTATTAGACATTCATACCCAGGCCCAGAGATTGCTTAGCATAAGTTGGGTCAGTTAAGGTTAAATTTGGGGTTAGCTTCAAGGAGAAGTCATTGCAAAGGAGGCATCCTGACTCCTGGGTCAGGCAGGAGGGAGGTATTTGAGCTTTTTGTGTGTGTTTGGTCAGGCCTTTTACCAACAGCAAGTAAGAGCTTGTCTACCGTCCACTGTCCTTCTGGCTCTCACCCTCCCTGACAGTAGGCTCCCACAGAAAGATGTGTCTACAGTGCAGAGTCTGCAGAACTGCCTCCGCAGGCTTCCACGTGGGCCCAGGGACTGCGTGGATCTACACCGATGCAGATAGGCATCAGTGTTGGCAACAAGCCCTCTCCTGTGAGCTTCTGCCAAGGCTTCTGTAACACTGCTTCCCCCTATCATCCGTTTGTGAGTGGAACCTAACTTTTCAGGAAAAAGAAATAGGAGGAGGAAAGTGGGTGAGGCCAGGAGGCAGGCAGGAACAAAGGAAGGTAGGGAGGTCCGAAGAATATCGTATCTTTGACCCCTTGTGTAGGAGAGGTCCATCTCTTGAGGTGTGTCTGGTGGGAATGGGGTAGGTACCCTTGCTCATTATCTTTGTACTTCTTTATTTTTCTTTTCTGCTGGCCAGCTTTCCTCTTGTTATATTTGCCCAACGTAGATTTTTCACTTATTTTCTTAATTCTCTGTGCTGTCTAAAGCCAACTGGAGTGCTTTGGGTCCTTGAGGAAAATCAGTGTTGAACTGGACATCTGAGGCCATCAGGTCCTGCGTTGGCAGTCCATCTGTGGACAGCTCTGAGCAGCTCCAGGCTTCACTGTGGAATTTCATCGCACTGCATCTCACTGCCTTTCATTGCTTTATATTTCCTGTAATATTGTAATTAAGTGAAATGTGTGGCTTTGTCGTAGTTCACTGCCTGCAGCATCATTGTGTACAGATCAGCCTGATCTTGAGACAAATAAGTGTTGAGGGTTGTATGGGTTGAGCACTTGAGTGTCAGCGTTGTTGTAGTACAGGATACCGCTCTGAACCTCAGGAGGTTCCAGATTTCTCACTAGGTAGGTGACTGTTGTGATGAAGAGAGAAGACTTCCTCGTGGCGCCATTGTTTTGCAAGAAGCAGGCGGCATCACCATCTTCATTCCTTGGTCAGCAGAGCCTCAGGTGTGACGGCCTCAAGAGTCTGCCTAAGGACATCAACATCACTCATTGCAGGTGTGAGTGGCTATTCTGATTTCCGATCGGGACAATTCTCTGTAGTAGTGAACATGCTAAGCTAGGCTGTGCCAATGATTACTGAATTAAGAACTCATGTCCCCTAATAAGGCTTATAGGAGAGCGTGGTTGTAGTATTGTGACTGAAGACCCAGGCTGCAGCTGAAAAAACCCTGCCTGGCACACATGCAGCAGCAGCGTGCACCCGTGGGACTCTGGAGCAGGACAGGCAGTCCAGGGTGCACGGGCTGCATAGGGGAAGGGGGTGGAACAGGTGTACTGACCAGCACATGTTGGCAAGTCAGTTGAAAGTGCTGAACTTTGTATTTCATATACATTCACCCCAGAAATGGGTTTTGGTACTAAACTACTGATAAGGGGTTCCACTTGAGCATAAAGCTTTTCAGCCCCTGGGAAGTAATTGGCTCTTTGTGCTGATGAAGTGTGGCATTTGTGTGTGTGTGCAATTGAGAAGCATGTCGTCACTATGACAGCTTAGAGGCAGGCCTGCCTGGTGCCTGGGTAGGCTCGTACATGGCGGCAAATAAAATTGAATTTGTTTTAGCCATGTTGCTTCTTTATTCCCTCTTTCTCTTCTCTCTGTGTTATCAGCATGGCCCCTCTCCGTCCCTTGTGAGAGCCATGAACAAACTAAGATGGGTCCTGCCTGAAAAGTAGTCTGGGAGAGTAACAGCTGGTGACCTGGGCCAAAGGAAGACCTAGGAAACAGATGGCTTCTTTCATTACATCAACTGGAACCAGTATGAATCCAACCCTATTTGTCATTGACTCGTGTGTTAGACCGGATTGACAAGAGAAACAGATCCAGTGACACTCATATGTATAAGGAAGAGCTTTAATTTAAGAAGTAAGTATATATCAAGAAGCCACCCAGCCCAGTCCAACTCAAGTCCCCAAGTCTGACACTAGTCTATAAGTCCCTCCTCAGGTTCACGCAGCCACATGCAGTGATGCAGAATGCAGGAAGATCACAGGTGCAGTCACTTAGCTCTAAGGTTGGTGGAAACAGGCCTCCGACAGCTCATGGTCAGTGGCAGAAAGGGAAAGGAGGAGAGAGCAGTTTCCAGTGTCTTTACTCATAGACCAGCAAGGAGTCTTCTGGCTGCGACTTGATTGATAGGTTTGACCCCACTTGACATTTTCCTACATCTTCAGGTTGACATAAAATTATCTGACTACCACAACTAGACTTTTTTATTCTGGGTTCCCTTACACATAGCTTTGCACATAAGCCCTAAGTAGATAAACCCACACTCGGTAGTGCCCCCGTGTGGACCTCTCCCTGAGTGACTCTGCTCAGCAGCCTGTCCTGAGAATCTTGATGTAAGTTCTCTACTAAAGTTAGAGCTGATTGACCTGGCTTTCACTGCCTCGGTTTCTGATTTTGACCTGTGTCCCTCCGGTCCACTCCCACTGCTTCCTGCATGGGGCCCGACACCACAATGGTCTATGTCCAGATTGCTGGTATGCCCTGACAGGAGGTGCCTGGATTCTGTGCATTCTCTGTAGAAGATAAGGAAAGGTGTAGAATTGTATATTACGAGGAATGACAACTTTATCAACTAGATCTCAGGATAGAGTAAGGAGGTTGAACTTGGACAAGCCACTGTATTCCCTGACATTAAGGGTCAGCATTTGAAAAGCCCAGAGCTCCTGTGGCCCCATTCCACCTGACTGTGGGTGGTAGAAATGGGTGTAAAAGGTTCATCTTGTATGAGCCCCTAATAAAACGATTAAAAAAAAAAAGAGGAAAGAATGAACCCCCCCACCCCCCAAAAAAAGGTTCACCTTGGCTTATCTGCCTTAAATGAGGGTTGGTTTTCATCAAAAGTGTAAGAATTCTGGGGACTCTTCCAACACTGCTGGCTTTTGATTTCATCTTAATATTAGAGCAGTTTGGGAGACTTGCAAATTAAAGCAGCAGTGAGATATTTATTCCTTTATCCTCTTTTTGGTTGACTGAAACGAGAGCATTTCAAGTGTTAGTAAGGAAGCAGTATTCAGTGAACCCTCAGATACTCTGAAGGGGGAGTAGACTGGTACAACCCTTTTGGAGAGCCATCTGGAGTCAAATGTATGTGTGAAAGTTCGACCACAAGACTGCCCCACTGCTAGTGCCAACTGCAAGTGTGGGAGCCTACAAAATTGCTCTCAGTTTTGATATTTGCTATAATGACTCAGCAGTGCTCCTAGGAAAACTGTTGTACTCATGACTGTTGTTTCTTATAGGGAAAAGATGCAGATTAAAATCTGTCAAAGGAAAAACACATAAGGTAGAGTCCCAAGTGGTGACTACCACAGTACCAAACACAGAGTTCCCAGTTGTCTTCTCCGTGTGGAGTCAGAGCATCGCTATTTGTGTGACAATGCACTGGAATATTGGCAGCCATGAAAGCTCACCTGAGCCTACGCATCTAAGGCTTTTATTGGGACCCCATCATGTGGGAAGGTTGACTTCCCCCTTGGCTGATCTCAATTTCTAGCCCCTCAGGAGGTTGAGCTGTCAGGTGTGACCCAAGGTTCTTACCCTAAATTAACATTGTTATCATCTGATGTGGCCAGATCCTACTCTAAACCTGATTGGTACTATCTGGCTTGGCCCAAGATCCAACTGTTAGATTATTAATTGTGACCCAAGAACCTCTGGCAAGCAAAGATCTATCAAGTGTGATAATCCAAGGTCTTAGATATCACCCCTCAGAAGCTTAGTGCAAAGACAACTACACAATATGTATGCACAGTGATATGGTACTTCCTCTTCTGGTTTGATATGCCAAAGAGATTCTAATATAGTTCCTTGAGGAGATGTGCACAGATACGGTTATTGAATCACTGTGGTGTCAAGAAGTTGGAGGAAACCCAGGTCTGATGACCATTTAATAAAGAGAATAGTATGGCAGAACTAGTTTTGTTACAGCTGTGTACATAAATGTGCACGAGATTAGATGTACACTGATGAGATGTTCCAGAGAACTCCAGGAAGAGAACTATCAGTATGCTCATGGATTCCTAACATGCATATGCTAGTTCTAATAGTATAACAGGAAGAGGAGGGGGCGGGTAGGCAGAAGGGATTAACATTGACCTCTTATGAAAACCTGCAGTCCAGTTGCCCACAAGCCATTGTTGTAAAATGCCCCTTACTACTGTTCCCTCATGGAAAATTAGAGCCACAGAACACGAAGAAGAATATTCAGAGCTTCTGAAGCTGTTCAGTGAGAAAGATCGCATGCCTTTCCTGCCACTTGGAGACAGGCTATGGACCACGGGTGTTCAAATGGTTTCCAAAGATGTGATGTTTAAGTTTATATATAAAAAATACAAACACACACACCTGCTGCCCCTTCCCCCCCCAACTCAACCAATAGTCTCAGGGATAGGGTTAATAATTAGAGACAGAGAAGGAACAGATGTTTGCCATGTAAGGCGTTTCTGCAATTCAACAAAAAGCAAATGAAATGAAAAAAATAAATTGGACAAAGGACATGAACAAGCAATTGCAAGAGAAAGCCAAAAGGCTTAAGAAGAGGTACTCAAGCAGTTTTTGGCACAGAAAATTATACACCCATAAAAGTAATGACTTTATTGTATGAGGTTGGTGGAGAAGAGAAAGCCACCTCTTGCCCTCCCATCCCACAACCTACCAGTCACTACCTAAATCTCATTGTTAAGATTATTCATATTGCACTGTTGGTAGTTATAGTCTGGTGCAGCATTTTTAAGCACCAACTGGTAGATTTAATTAATTAAGGACCTGTGTTAGGGTTCTATATAAAGACAACCAGTGACATTTATGTGTATATCTAAAGAAATTTATATCAAGAAAGTGGTTGGCACTGTTGTAGAAACAGGTAAAACTAATCTGGTTCAAGGCTGTGGGTTTAATGTTGAACTGGAAGCTTTTGCTGACTCTTGAAGCTGTCAGGCCTGAAGAACCAAGATGTAGGAAGGTCACAGCTTGGTGGAGGCAGAGGTGGATGAATCCAATGTCAGCAGGTAGGTTGTGATCGCAGAGTCAAATGAGTCCAAGGTCGGCCGGCAATATGCCGGTAGCTACCAGGTTTGACAGGCAGTATAGTGGGGGAATCAGAGCTGACTAAGTGGGTAGCACTCCATCCTAACCTTCCCGCAACTGCTTGGCTGCTCACAGCAAGTCCCTTCATGGAGCTGATTATATTACGTTACAGACCATCACGGGGGAGGTGTCAACTGTAGAACTGAGAATCCTGGCCCAGCCAAGTTGACAGAAAACCTATTACAGGACCTAATGACCACAAGACCCAGCAATTACACTCCTGGATATTATAGCACCATGAAATTCTCTCCTAGGCAATAAAGAGATATAACCTGCGTGTTTCACTGGGAAAGTCAGAGGGTAAAATGAGGGTAGGATGGGGTGTAGCCCACATAATAATTTACCCTGCAATCCTTGGAATAAGACTGACATACTGTGACATTCAGGTGTGGTCCTGAGTCACAAGATTAAGAAAATTTACAACAGGGCTATTTGCCTAAATTCAAAATACAAGTATGTGTGCATAGAACAAAAATTTGTGATTTGCAATAACACTTTAAAAAGATGGAGGGGGGAAGAAAAAGATCTCATTCAATAGCCGTCTGTGAGGTAGGAATAGGGATGAATTAAAGGAAAAGCAGCAGAAGAACATAGCAAAGGCCACAAAGAATTGGAGCATGGAAAAGAGGAAGAGCAGGGGATCTGTCCAGCTGCTGATTTTAGTGCATCCCAGGTAGGCCTACTTCAAAAAAACTTTAACGCACTGCCATTGTGTCAATGGTGACTTATAGTGGGCCTGTAGGACAGGGTAGAACTGCCCCTGTGAATTTCCAAGACTATATCTCTTATGGGAGTAGAAAGCCTGTCTTTCTCCATGGAGCAGTTGGTGGTTTAGAACTGCAAACCTTGAGGATAACAGGTCAATGCATAACTACTATGCCACCAAGTCTCCTAAGCCCTAACTCAGGGATTCTTTATGTAGGAAAAAAAAAAGAGCCCTGGTAGTGCAGTAGTTAAAAAGCTAGGCTGATCACTCAAGAGCTGGTGGTTCAAATCCCCCATCCCTCCATGAGAGAACAATGTAGCAGTCTGCTTCTGTAAAGACTTAGTATTGGAAACACCTTGGGGTCAGAGTAGACTACGACAGTGGGATTGGTTTAGTTTACGTAAGAAAAAAGGTTTCTGGTCATTTTGCTTGAGTTTTTGGTGACTGCTTGTGTGGGAAACAGAAAGATTTCTTCCAAGTTGTCTCCTCTAAATATATACCAAACCTAGCTGCCTGCTCCACATGGCAAATGACTACACTTGGAGGTTCAATGAAAGTAGGTCAAAGGTTATTCTCCCTAAGGGTTATCAGCCATCTAAACTCGAGCAGGGGTTCTCAAACTCTTTAAACAGGGGGCCAGTTCACTGTCCCTCAGACTCGTTGGAGGGCCGGACTATAGTTTAAAAACAAACTATGAACAAATTC